CGGATTTTGTGATTATTGGTTGAACTTTCTCAGGTTTTTCCCTAGTCACCCTCGTTAAAATATACACATCTCACCTTTCTGCAATGGTGGCTTCAGGCCTTATTGTTAGTTGTCTTTATGATCAGTATGACAAAAGAGGACAAAGATTATAGTATAATAAATCACAGACCAATCAATGTACTCAGTCTATGTAGATAGATGATTTCTACTGGAAATCAATTTTGGTTTCATAACAGCCTTTTTTCTAGGCAACCTAGAATTTTTATTTCTGCAGCCTACGGATCAAGAAATTGCAGTTTTTGAGCTTGCCATGCCTCGTATTTACTGAGTGGTTTGGTTTTTGGTTTTTGGTGGGTCTTTGTTTTTGTGTTTTAACTGAGTGGTCCTATGTTCAGAAGATCTATGCTTCAGTTTTCTCTAGTTGAAATGTTGGTAAAATCATTCTTCTCTAGAGTTACACAATTTCTGGAAATGTTAAAGCCAAGGGGCAAGAGCCAGGGTGATTTTTACTTTGATGGAAATTGAAATGTGGCAATGTTGCCTTCTAATCTCGCCCTTCTATCCTCTGTTAATTCACCCTTGACTCTGGAACATTTTGGACAAATGCAAGTTCAGCAGATATTGAGCGCCTTTCAGTACCAGTTCTATGTTCAGTGCTGGGAATGCAACTCTAACCAGGATGAAGACCCTCAGGAACCTTTGGTCTTGTGGGATGACCCCTTTTCTATTTTGTCCTACAGTTGCCCAACCAGCCCCTGGTTTTTACTGGTCATGCTTCATTCATTCATTCAGCAGATACTTGTGGAGCACATACTAAGTTCTAGGCATTGTGCTGGGTGCCAAACTACAGTGATGAGAAGAGACAAGCCATACCCTCAGGAAGCTTCTGGTCCCCACTTTGTTGGGGGGGTTTTATGCAGACATAATTATTTATTTTTTTTCCTTCCTGTTTTAGGTATGAATATATCGCTTGTTTTTCTTTTATTTAAATTCATTTTGCCAGCATATAGTATAACACCCAGTGCTCATCACATCATGTGGTCCCCACTTTGAATTAATTCGCCTGGCAGTATTTTCCTCCTATACCCTCTCACCTACTTCATGCCTCCTTCTAGCACTTGCATCATTCTACTTAGAATACATATCTTTGTCTCCTTTTAAACCATGAGCATCTTGGAGGCAGCAATCTCAACTTTCTCTCCTGGGTGCCTTGCACTCCCTAGTGTCTAACACATATGGGGAGCTCAATGAATGTTTTTGGATGAACAAATGATGGCAGATGAATTTGCAAATTAGTGAACCTATGGAGCCATAGACCAGTCTGCCCTGACCTGCCATCCCACATCTCTTGGATTAGGAAAGAACTCAGTGATCGGTCATCTGTTAGTACTAAAACACTCCTCATGATTTCAAGGGCTTTCTAAACATAAAACCAGCTGGTACACGGGTCATTTCTTCTTCCAAATATATCTGCCATTGAGATAAAGAACAAATACTAGCTTTAGCTTGTGTTTACAATACTTTTTTGCAGGAGGACAAACATGATTATATATGATTTAAATGAAATGAACTTATAGTAAGGAAAACAAATGAGTTTACTTGTGACTTTTGGATAGATACTTGATATAGCTATAGTAAGACGAAATATAATAATGACTTAAACTGCTAGAAGCTTCTTTATCTGTCGTGTAAGAGCCCAGAAACAGTCTGATACGGAGGTTTTGCTCCATGAAATCATCAGGTCATGGTACCATCATTCCCTAAGATATGGTGCAGGGTTCAAGATGGGCTCCACTTGCCACATATACCTCCATGCAGCAGAATGAAGGTAGAGGGATGAAGGGACAAAGGATAAACACTAACTCTTAAGCAGTTTCTTGGAGGCTGTCACAGGCACTTCAGCTTACATCCCATTGACCACACATGATTATAAAGGAAGTTGGGGTGGAGGCTTTTATTTTGGATAACCACATGACCAGCTAAAAATGATTTTAGTGTGGCATACAAGGAATATAGACATGAGGGATACGATCAGCTGTCTCTACTGCAGATACTGCAACTGAAGTATTAGTGATTATTCAAGAACTTTTGTATTCTCATTACTACAAGCTGAGGTCACACTGATGAACACCAATTGTTAATCCTCTGTGCTATGATCACACTTGGTACTGCCCTGATTGTCCTTATCAATGACAGCATGAGTGAGGTAGAAGGAAAAGGAAGCTTTTGCAATAAGGAAATAGGGAGGCAGTGGGAGTCTGGGTAAGGCGGTGGCAACAGCAATCAAAAGGAGAAGGCAGGGTGGAGAGAGATGGTAGATTCAGCAGGACAAAGTGATTGGATATTGGAGGAAAGAGAGAGAGAGGATCGGGAATGATTCAGCTTTAAAGCAAATTAGGCCCTCGTAATTGGGCTAAAAAGGGTGGTTTGGAGACTGCATTAGACTGGTGGAGTTAACTGCTGCAAATTGACCTGAAATCTCTCCTTGATCTATTACTTCTTGCCATGAATTTTCTCTTGAATGGACTAATGAAGTTAATAAACTTCTCCAAGTAGTTAATCTTTGACAGGAAAAATTTAACAGGTCTTAGTGACCTACCTTAACCAGTCATAATGTTCCCTCTCCTAATTCAGTACCCTACTTGGGACTTCTTAAAATTCTGAGTTCTTGAGGCATTCTTAATTCAAGTGCCAGAATTTCTCACTTGAGTAAGCTGAATATATGGAGAATCTATTCCCCCACCTGGAAAGTGGAGTTGGTACTGCAGTTGTGAAATTTAAAAAAACACTGGATGTATAAAGGACCTGACACAACAAATGCTAAATGCCTGGTTCAATAATATGCAGGGAACATGCATATGTTTGTTACCTTTATATTTCTAGTCCTTAATACATGTACTTATTAAACGTATGAATGAATGCATGACCAAGATCCAAGAAATGAAGCCAAAAATCTAAATGCAGAACTAGAGTCAGAGAACTACTCCAGGGTAGTTCTGGAGGGATCATGGATGTTCAGACCTGAGGTCATGAATGGTCAGACATTATCAGAGACAATTCCATGACTGTTGAGTGTGGGGGTACTCCTTCCACGTGGATCCCAGTATCCTCTGCTAGAATGGTTGTTGGAGAAGGTGGGGTCCCTACAGGGCAAGAAACAGCATGTAACAATGATTAAGGGTTTGGGCTCTGGAATCAGACATTTATGCATATAATATATATGCATATATATAATAAAGTATGAAAAATCTCCCAAGAGGAGAACTCAAAGATCCAAGATGTAAAAGATTATAATAGGTGGACCTGCCTAGTCTGAGGGTCCAGGGAAGGCCTCCTTGAAGAGTCCTGCAAGTTACTCACTGCACAATGAGGGATTAGTATGGGTGGAAATCCAAACTGTGCCTCACTCCCAAGCTGGATGCCTTAGTGCAGGACTGTGTCTGGCCCATAGGAGTTCTTTTCTCCATTCACACAGAGGCCCCAGTTTGCCAAGCTATACCCATAGTCATGAGCATCTAAAAACTGAAAGATAAGTAGATGTGTTTCAAGCAAAGTTTGGGCCAGAGGGACCAAGGAGGGAGAAAAGCATGTGTGTGGTCTGGGATTTTACAAAGGCCTGGTGTACTTGAGTAACTGGTGGAATTTTGGTATAACTGGAGTGTGAAGTTCAAAGAGAAGACCACCAAGAGTAAAGTTGGATTGTGGCTAGCATTTTCTGGGAGTTTACTAGTTACACTATGTTAAGATCTCTCCATGCATTATTTTATTGAGATCACAGAAAAATGACTTTACCTAAGTCATATGTTAGAAAACAGTGAGACTATGATTCAAAGCCAGGTTTAACGTCAGAGCCTGTGCTCCAAACCAGGTGTTTCATGGCATCCTAAGATTTGCAAAGATAGACTGCAAAGGGATAAAACTGAAGACAGGAATGCCTATTAGGCAATAGTTGCAGAAATCCAGATATGAAATGCTGGCAGAATTAGGACGGCCTCAGAAAAAGAAAGGAGAAGATGGATTCTAGAAATTTAGGAAGCAGAGTCTACCGGACTTGGTGGTTGTTTGAATATGAAAGGCAATGATAGGAAGAGAGAGAGGAGTCTAGGATGACTCCTTATTTTGTGTCTTTGTAAATGGTACTTCATTTGCTGACATTAAAAAACAAGGAAGTAGCAACAAGTTTGGCAGGAAGGTGAGTTTAGAGCCTGTCAAGTTGGAAGCACATGTGGGACATCCAGGTGGAGATGGCCAGTTGACAGTTCAGTGCTGGCCCTGACCCTTAGGAGAAGCTGTATAGTTACCCAACATTTGACCTTGACCCAGAGAATAGGTGAGAGGGTGTAGAGTGAGAAGAACAAAGATTTCCCACTAAGATAATTATGCTAAAGCAGAAGGACTTTTCCTTAGATCCAGCTGTTGAAGCTTTTAAACATAATCTGACCTTTGATTTATAATATGGAGTGTCATATTATAAACTGAAGCCAGAGATCTGTGATAAGAAGGTACAAAAAAGGGACGAATATAGATTGTTTGGCCTTTTTTGACATTTTTGATTGATTTAAAGCCAGATTTAAACTTAAATATGACTCATTCTGTATTTCTGTAAGAACATAGGGGCTGAATAAAATGTCATTTATATTACAATAATGCAAGAAACTGCTTCTACTAAGAAAATTCTGTGCATTATTCACACAGAAGAATGAATGGATTAAAATCCAACAACAGCATCAGTAGAGGCCTTAGCTTACCAATGGCCTCTTTAAAATGTGGCCTCACAACTGAACACAGTCCTTCTCCAATATGGGCAAGTAAAGTTTTCTGTATCTTACATGAAGTGCTATAAAAATGAGACTCTTAAGTCATGGCTTCCCCTCTTGCTACCCTACCCCTCAGCCTCTCTAAATGGAAATTCTAAGCCATGTCAGTTGCATGCAGTCATCATAACAAGATGGGACTTAGGCTTAGCTGAATTCATTCATTTTGTCTCTCTTTTCTTTTAGAAAACATCACAGACACTCTTTACACAATGTGGCTTCTTAAGACTCAAGGACCACCCACCTTACTAGTCTACGATGGCAAAGGCAAAAATGGGTATTCAAACATCACAGCTTCCATTCTGTTATTAATCATTCTGTAGACATGTGCTCCCACTATAGGAAGTGAACTGCACTAAGGGGGAAAGTTCCAGCGGCCCCCAAACCAACAGCACTCTTGTCTCTCCCCCTAAGAGAGAAGGCATCACTATGGCATTTCACAGCTGCTCTTTGATCCTCTTGGCAATTACCTGGTGCACTTCTGCCTATGGGCCTGACCAACGAGCCCAGAAGAAAGGGGACATTATCCTTGGGGGGCTCTTTCCTATTCATTTTGGAGTAGCAGCCAAAGATCAAGATCTAAAGTCAAGGCCGGAGTCTGTGGAATGTATCAGGTAAGGAAAGGACCCAAGTCATAGGGTCTCTTGTCTTCTGGTGGTTGTAGAAAAACTCTACCAAACCCAAAGTAATTTATTCAAGGTTGGTACTCTCTTTTCAAAAATGGTGATTGGTAGTCATGCTGAAATTATTCTACTCCCCTTTTTAAAAGAAATTTTTCAAAAAGTAAAATGTCAAAGATACTGAGTAGAAGAATCCATGGCCTATTGGGAGTATGTGTCTGGTCACATGGTAACTGAATCATTGTTCACCTGGCAGCAGTGTTGCCTAATGAAAGACTAGGTACCTAGAAGGAAATCTGTTTTAGGTCTTGCAAACCTGAGTAATAAAATCTCCCATATACCTTAAGTGCTCTGATGGTCAGTAATGCCTGAGTGTTGGCTGCCTCACTCTCATTTTTTTCAAAAAAAGGATTTTAGGTTTGAAAGAAACCTCAGTGGTTGGCATAACCCATGCAACCCACAATATTTTGGAGGTCCTTCTTATAAAAGGCCAAAATCCTCCTACCCAAAACAGAATACACCTAACACCAAAGGAGAAAACACAGAATTAATCTAAGTCTCTCATTGAACTCTCTCTTCAGCCATTGGAAGACAGCTAACATGTCCCATTGAATCACTTATTTTCCAGGCCTGAGTCTTGGTTTTCTGAACAATTACTTCATGACATGATTTCCAGACACTTCACCATTCTCATCGCCCTTCATCTAATGCTCCCTAATTTATCACGAGTCTCCTAGAATATGGCATCTAGAATTAGGCACAATTCCATCAAACAAGATCTGACTTCTGCAGAGTAGAATGGACTATGTGTCACCTCCTTTCACAAAGATATCAGAGACCATGACTGTACCCCAAGTCTTTACCCAACTTCTAAAGAGAAAATACCACTTTCTCTCTAAGACTTGCAACATTCGGAAGGGATCCGGCACTTTTTCTGCTCTTCTTGATTGCTGGAAAATGAAAATGAAAACTAATTGCTCCAACAAAACTATTTCTGTTCATGTTCGAATTTGGAAAATTAGATAACATTTTTACATTTTTCTCATGAACACAGAAAACTAAGTACAGAATTTCAGTTAGGCTAATTATATCCCCTCACACATCCCATGTGGACAGGTGCCCTACTGAACAGAATTGCACATGTGCTACGTATATTCCTAAGATCAAGCGAGAAGCCCCGAAATACTATATTTTTAAGTTATGTTAAAGAAAGATAATAAAATCAGCATAAGTATTTTATGTAAAGAAATATTCTATAACCTCTCTTAACTTTTCAGGATTAAAACAAATAGCTAAACATAAAAGTGATGGATAAAGAAAATGACTAAGAGAAAACACATTAAAAGTTAAAAACCTACACAATAGAGTGGAGTATAACAAATTGTATTTCTTACCTCCTGTCATTGAGTTCAAGTAACCTACCACATAAAGAAAAAGCCTGTGGAGTTATTACATTTCCCCCTTTGGGGACTGACACACTGATTCAACACAATAACCTAGCCCTCGCTCTGAGCCAGATCCTGGGAGAGTGAAAACTAAGTCACTAACCCTACTTCTCTTTGTTTAATCTGCGTGATATTTATTTAAAATAATGTTCTTTGAAAAGCAATGCATGCTCATTTTTTATAACAGATTATATAAATAAACCAAAAGCCCATTTATAAAACCCATCACTCCACCACCCCAAAATAACCACCAAAAACAGCCTTCCTACAAATGTTTGTTAGTTTACAAAGATGAGATCTATCATTTCCCTTTCCCCTTTGACCTCTAGTAATGTCATAATCTAAATTTGTGACTCTGCAAATCTGAAGTAACTTTTAGGCTCCCACCTATTAAAAATCCTAATCTTCTTTATATTTTCCCTAATCCTTTTTTAAAAATCTCTGTATTATTTTTAATACTTCATATCAGCAACTTCAAACTCTTTGCTGGATGAAACAGATACAAATTATTCATTCTATTCTAATAACAACCTTTGTGCTATCATTGCTCCTTCTATGTAAGGCACCAGGCTGAGAATTTTGCATAATTATCTCAGGTTCACTGCCACCATATGAGGTAAGCATTGTCCCCATGTTACAATGCTTGACCATTGTCCCCATTGTCTGAGTCTCAAAGAACACACCACGAAACCAAAGAGTAGCAGAGCCATGATTCAAACCCAGCCTTGCTCAGTCCCCATCCTCAAGCGATTGATCAGAGAGCTTCCCATTTCCTTCCATTTCTTCTTTCTTCCAGGTACAATTTCCGCGGGTTTCGTTGGTTACAAGCAATGATATTTGCCATCGAGGAAATAAACAGCAGTCCAGCCCTTCTTCCCAACATGACACTGGGATACAGAATATTTGACACTTGCAACACCGTTTCTAAAGCCTTGGAGGCCACTCTGAGTTTTGTGGCACAGAATAAAATTGATTCTCTGAACCTTGACGAGTTCTGCAACTGCTCAGAGCATATCCCCTCTACTATCGCTGTGGTGGGAGCAACTGGCTCGGGCATCTCCACGGCTGTGGCAAACCTGCTGGGCCTCTTCTACATCCCCCAGGTACACAGGTCTTCTTAGATGGGGCAGCAGTGTAAACAGGAATCAGGACTCAAAGGACTGCCATGCCCAGTGTCCCTACAGCTTGCTGTTTTCCTACCTCTGGCTTTACATTAGCACAAAAGACCCTTAAATTAGTTAAATTAGTCAGGGCACTGTATCATGACCATTTGGGATTTCTGAGACCCCAGCATCAACCATGTCAACTAAACCTTCACGACTCTTCCAAAATTCTTTTAAATATACTGTATATAGAACTTTGTCTTTTTTATCAAAGTGTTCAGTCATTTACTTTCCACTCCCTTCCTTTACTTAATAAATGGCCATTCTTCTGACTTTACTAAAAGGAATGAAACCATATCATGTAAACCCCACCTTTCAACTCAAAATATCTGTCCCTAGTCCTATTCCCTTAAAAGTCTGCCTCTCTATCTTCTGGTTGAAAGTTTAGCTCAGGGGGAAGCGGAGTATACTTTCTCACAGAACAGGAACTTAATCATTGTCTTGCATGTTCTAGAAATGGAAAAAATTCTGTTTCATTCAACAAATATTTATAGAGCATATATGAATCAATAGTGTCCATCCTGCAGGAATTCAACCCAGGTGAGGAGATGTCTCAAAAACTAGTAAACAGTTCACTGAAACAAATGTTTTGATGAACATTTGTTCAAAGTTGCATATTTTTCCCCTATGAAGTAAAGCTTTTTTCATGTTAATATTCATAGATATATGACATCATTTTTATAATAGTGAAAAATTGGAAACAACCTAAATGTCCATTGAGGGGAGAATCGGCTCAATTTTGAACATCCTTTATATCAATTTTTAATTATGAATCACAATTGAATTTATCTTTTTCAGTATCTAATGTTTCAAATTTGTAGGAGTACCTTTGAGAAATTCACATTTATATGTTGGGAGTCTCCATTTCCTTGGTGGTAGACATTATCCTTTTATATGCATGTGTCAACTAAAAAAGTCTTGTCATCATTTCCCGAATCCTTACTTCAGGGAATTAAAGGTATTTCCCATGGGGAAGCCCTGGCTCTATAACTTTTATGCAAAATGATCTAACAATCCCCTATCAGTAAATGTGTTGGGCAATATGCAAATATGCATCTTATGAATTTGGCATATTGTACAGTATTTTTTTAAATACACTGTTAAAGTAAGTTGTTGTAGCCAAGAGGCACAAGATATAATTGCCACCAAGTAAATAAAGAACCAAAAGTAAAGGTTTTGATTCTTTGTGGTTTGGATGAAAGACAAGGTTAAGCTAAATTCGAATTATAAAAGTGTTGTGAAAGCTATAATAATTCTCAGTCAAAACATTGTTGAGTGTATCTACAGTAGTGGTTCTCTGCTGTGACTGCAAGTTGGAATCACACGGGGAGCTTTAAAAATACTGATGTTTGGGTCTCTTACCCCGGAGATCCTGGTGTTTTGTTTTGTTTTTCATTTGTTTTTATTTAAGTTCGATTTGCCAACATATAGTATAACACCCAGTGCTCATCTCATCTAGTGCCCTCCTTGGTGCCCGACACCCAGTCACCCCATCCCCACCCCCTCACCCCCACCCCCCCACCCCCTCCCACCTCCCCTACCACAACCCTTTGTTTGTTTCCCAGAGTTAGGAGTCTCTCATGGTTTGTCTTCCTCTCTAATTTTTCCCACTCAGTTCCCCTCCTTCCCCTTATAATCCCTTTCATTATTTTTTATATTCCCCGTATGAGTGAAACGGAGATCCTGTTTTCATTGATATGAGATGCAGTCTGGGTGGCAGTTTTGAAAGTTCCCAAGGTAATCCTAATATGCAGCAGAGTTGGCAGCCACTGCTGTGCAGGGTAGGGGCAAGGCCCAGGGGTATTTCTTATGCCACTCATGCCATCAAGTGGACGGAATAAGCAGCCCAGCAGGACAGTTGTGGTTAGAAGTTTTCTGAATCATTCATAAAATTCTCCCCTCTTACAATAACAAAAGTTTTGTGTATTTTTAAGGGTTTTTTGTTTTGTTCTGTTTTGTTTGCTGGTTGGGAGGACAGGTAATGAGGTAGCATTTATCACCATGTCTCTAGTTTTTTTTTTTAAACTGGACAACTATTATAAATGCATTTTAAGAGAAACATATCCATAGTAGATATATATGTGTGTAACTTTAATCCTTTTAAAATGCTTTTCAGCCCATTTTTCCAAAGAAGTAGTAAGCAATAATGGATGAATTTACAAAATGCCCAAGTAGGTTTTTCATTTGCAAAAATATGATCCAGAAGCCTGTTGTCTGGGTCTGCAAGTAGAGCTCTGTTAAAACAATAACATCTCAACAAATTACTTAATCAACTACCTACACCTCATGAACTCTCATAGCAGCAAGGGGCTTATTCTGATAAAAGAAAAAAGTCAATTTCATATTGTAACTTTCAAAATCAAAGCTTTTATCAGAAAAATCATGTTCTTTAGCAAAGTTGGCCTAGAGGTGGTAGAAAGGGAAGGGCAGAGGGAGAGGAAGGGGGAGAGGGAGAATCTGAAGCAGGCACCATGCCCAGCACAGAGCCAAATGCAGGGTTCACAACCCTGATATCATGACCTGAACCGAAATCCAGAATCAGGCACTCAACTGACTGAGCCACCCTGGTGCCCTGGCCCTGATCTTTCTTTTTGTTTGTTTGTTTGTTTGTTTGTTTTGTTTTGTTTTGTTTTGTTTTTTTGGGCCCTGATCTTTCATACACCAATGTCTTTCGTGTTTTTGATGTAGAAACTATTCATTGATAAGAAGGAATACATTGGAAAATTCATTTTAAAATGCTGAACATAGAAAACTAATTGTTTTAACTGGTGAGAAATATTAAAAAGGCATTCCCCCCCAATTTTTTCAACTGTGTTTCCTTTAAAATATGTCTAGAAAACTGGAAAACAAGAGATATTAAATGCTGTTTCATTACCAAGAGAGGGAATAAATGGAGACTGGAAGAGAGAAACTAGGCAAAATAGGAAAGAGGACCCTTTGGGCTTCTCTGAAGAACCTTTGGTTTATAACCCATAGGGAACCTGATTCCTTCCAGAAGTGAGTCATGGACAAAGTGTTCGTCATAGTATAGGGGAAGCTAAAACATTTAGGCTAGAACGTGAACCTAACAGGAAAAAGATGTGTCCATAGATATAACCAATGAGGCAGCACAGAGGAAGTTGGGAACAACTATGGAACAGTGTAGAAAGCTCTCCTTGAAAGAACAAGTAGATTCTACTATTGTTGCGTTGACTTTACAGCCAGACCCATTTCTGAAGGTTGTATTGTGAAGAATCACCCACTGAGAACTAGAACGTTCCCTCAAAGACTGACTAATGTTGAGTGCTCACACTGGAGAGGAACAGGTTCTGGCTGTCTTCACCCTTTCATCCCATCTGCAGTGAACAGCATGTTTTGATAAATTAAATTAATGAATGCTCAAAAAACCATGTCCACACAGCCTCATTCACTGGAATCTCACTCACTCATTCATCCTGTGTTCTTTCCAGGTCAGCTATGCCTCCTCCAGCAGACTCCTCAGCAATAAGAATCAGTTCAAGTCCTTCCTCCGTACCATCCCCAATGATGAACACCAGGCCACTGCCATGGCAGACATTATTGAGTATTTCCGCTGGAACTGGGTGGGCACTATTGCAGCTGATGATGACTATGGCCGGCCAGGGATTGAGAAGTTCCGAGAGGAAGCAGAGGAGAGGGACATCTGCATCGACTTCAGTGAACTCATCTCCCAGTACTCTGATGAGGAAGAGATTCAGCAAGTGGTAGAGGTGATCCAGAATTCCACAGCCAAAGTCATTGTTGTTTTCTCCAGTGGCCCAGACCTTGAACCCCTCATCAAGGAGATCGTCCGACGAAATATCACAGGAAGGATCTGGCTGGCCAGTGAGGCCTGGGCCAGCTCTTCCTTGATTGCCATGCCCGAGTACTTCCATGTGGTTGGAGGTACCATTGGATTCGCTTTGAAGGCTGGGCAGATCCCAGGTTTCCGGGAATTCCTGCAGAAAGTCCATCCCAGAAAGTCTGTCCACAACGGTTTTGCCAAGGAGTTTTGGGAAGAAACATTTAACTGCCACCTCCAAGAAGGTGCTAAAGGGCCTTTATCCATGGACACTTTCCTGAGAGGTCACGAAGAAGGTGGTGGCAGGATAAGCAACAGCTCCACTGCCTTCCGACCTCTTTGTACAGGGGATGAGAACATCAGCAGTGTGGAGACCCCTTATATGGATTATACACACTTACGGATATCCTACAATGTCTACTTAGCAGTCTATTCCATTGCTCATGCCCTGCAAGATATATATACATGCTTACCTGGGAGAGGGCTCTTCACCAACGGTTCCTGTGCTGATATTAAGAAGGTTGAGGCTTGGCAGGTACATCCTTCACTTAGATGGCAGTTCACTGTGTATTAAGGCAGAGTTGGGTGGATCCAGGCAAGACAGATAAAGTGGTTATCTCAAAAAGGCAATAGCTAAATGGTGTTGCTATATGTAGCTTTGGATTCAGATTGCCTTTTCAAATATCTGAGCATCTGACTCAGATATTTGATAAATTGATAGTCATTTAATTTGATTATCTGTTTAAACCCTTGGCTCAACTGTTCTTTAATCCAGTGGTTCAGAATACCTAGAGTATGACCCCAAAAGGTTTTTAAATATCCTGGAACAGATTTAATACTGTGTGGAGTATTTTTACAATGTTTAAATTACAGATATTGTTCCCTTATAACAAATATTTGTTGAGCACCCACTATATTCCATACACTGAGGGGCATACAACAAGAGTTCTTGTGTTTAGCCACTACTTTTACCATATCATTATTCACCCAATAAGCCAACTAATCTTAGGACACAAGCAAATCAAGGGCCCAGGAAAAAAATTCTTCTTAAAAAGATTTGATATTGGATATTGGATATTTCAAAAAGAAACACTGAAGTATTTATCATAGAAAATAATTAGATGAAGGTGGAGTTCCTACACTCATTTTATAGTAGTCTTGCTTTGTATTTTTGAATTGAATTACATGTAAGAGAGACATCATAATCTTTTCATTTCATACAACTTCTGAAGATAAAAGTCTGACCTGACTTAAATCCTACCTAACTGTTCATGTCTTGCATAGTACCTTGATTTTTTCAACGAAACCTTGTTCTACACTCTTTTTTATTTTCCTCAGTTCCAGACTGACCTATCAGGAGTGCATGATCATTAGGGGGAGGGGATGGGGACGTTCCTGAGTATGAGTTGAATGACCCAGCCTCCAGCTTCAGCTCTTGCATTTACTAGCTATATCATATTTGGCAAGCTACTGCTTGAAGTCAGTCTCTTCATCTATAAAATGGACCTAATATCTAGCCTACTTTCAACCCAAGATTCTTTTGAAGATGGAATGTGATGACATACGTGAGAGCAATTTATAAATTTTCAAGCTCTAAACAGATGATTGTTACAGTAGTATTTCAGTATGCCTCTAAGTAATCATTTCGATTAAAAATGATAACTACAACAACAGTGTATGTAGAATCCAGCTACCACAGACCCTTGGGAAAGGATAGCAAGAAACAAAGAATGTACAGTCTATGTTGTTAGTCATTTTAGAGACTCCCATGGGATCAAGAGTGACTGTCTAGGGTGGCAAAATGTGCCAGTGCCACAAGTACTTCTTAGCCCTTTGTGTGGGGAAAATCTCACTCAGGTGTCACTGTTGACTAAAGTTTCTCACCTCCATGAGATACTTAAAGTTTCCTTACTTGCAATGTACCACCCCCTTCCTACACCCTGGCAAAAATAAAAAAAGAGGAGTTCTAATGACAATTAAAAACAAAAAAGACTTCAGGAGCCATGATGATAAGGAATGGCGTTTTTAAAAGGAGGAATAAAAGGACAATCTTTCAGTAAATACTGTTGTCTTTCCTCCTTTTCCTTCCACGTCCCTTGAAAGGAAGACTCCAGCTCTTGAAAAGCCTATAGGACCAGGGTGTGGTTGAAGGGGAAAGAGGCTTCCAGTGTGTAATCTGACAATTTTGTTCTTCAGTAGCTCCTCTCCAAACAAGGAGGTAAGATCCAGTGGGTCAAGACCAAAGCTTGGCGTATGGGAAAAAAGCTGCAAGAAGGAGGCTATAGTTAAGACTGGGACTTTTAGTTCCATACAGTAGAAAACCCAAACCAAATTGGCTTAAACCGAATAAACTTGTGTTATTAGTAGCTCATAATGCTGAAAGTCATAGAAGTATTCCATACAAGTAGATGCTTTCATCTCCATCTCTGTTCCTTATCCCTGAGGGTTTGCAGTTTTTAGCCTCTACAGTAGCTTCAGGCTCATAAAATCTTTACTGTTAGGCTCTTACCTCCCAGAATCTTTTATAAAAGACCAAGAAATCACATTGATTGACCAGTCCAGGATTACATATCCATCCTTGAAGCTAGGAGTGGAATCCTTTCCAACTATATAGACTGAGAGTGAGAGGGAGTGGATCCCTAAAGGGAAATCAGGATGCCACTACCAAAAGGAGTGAAAAAAAAAAAAAAAGAAGCAAAGCAGCTGAAACGGACATCCACCACACAGACACCTCAGCTGACCCTAGTATAGGTTAAGATGTGCCCTCCTGGCTCACACACAGTCTGGCACAATTCATCCAGGAGAGGAGACAGATAGGAAAATAGGGTTGAAGCTCTATGGAGGAATAACATGTGGTCATTGGCCAAAATGCCCCATGTACTTGCTGTAAGTCTCCTTTAAGCCTCAGGAACCCAGGCAGTTTGGTGGGCATTCTGGAATTTAAGATATTGGCCATGTCTCTCTCAGGAACTGGACCGACAATTATTCATTCTCATTATGAAGACCTACATGGAACCTTATCACCCATAAAGTATATATAATCTAATCCAAGTATCTCAGCCTGGAATTTGACCCCCACCTTCTCTCAATTCTCTTATAAGCCAACCTGCCTGGCACCTCTCCACAAAGCATCTGTGAGGTTTTGGCATAGCATTTTTGTTTAGAACATATCCCACACCTGAAGGGCCATCATTTTTTGTCTCCTGTATCCACTGTCCGCCATGAAGTTTTAACTTTCTCAAAACCCACTTTCTCCTAGAGCTCTTTTCAAGTCATACTCCCGCACACATTTTTATGACCACTCTTTCTTCCTCATTTTTGCCATTTAATACCCAACTTAAGCTTCCATAACTCTTCAGTTGGCTGAAATAGATTTTTATTAATTAAGCTTCTGGTTAAATTGGGTCAATCACAAGTTTTTTTCTTTTGTTGACTTTTACTCCCCCTAAAATATGTCATTCCATTCATATGCCTTAAAGTATCACTAACAGATACTTTATGAGCATGCAACACACAATTCCCTTCTGACCACCCTGGAGACCCCAAGTCCTTCTCCACTGCTCCTCAACTCTCTCCTCACTCTGATTTCTCCACTGTACTGTTCAGCACTGTGTTCAGAACATCTGACACGTGAGTATGTGTAGAATAAACGAAAGAAAGAATAGAAATCTAGTTGATTTGACCTGACAACTGGAGTCCTTGCAGAGAAGTGTTCAACCCAACAACCCATCCTTGGACCAATCACTCTGGCCCAGGTACACTAGGCTCTGATTATATAAGCCTGTGTTACATGCAACAATCAGATTTGTATGGAACATCATGTGAGCAAGTAAGTACAGAACCACCTTCTTCCTTTTCTCAGGATGATTGTGCATAAGGCATGCTTCCTACTTTCCCCCACAGTACACCAACCACTCACTAGTCAAAACATAGGTATGCATCACGACAGAACCATGGTGATAACTGTAGTCAAATGGAATTGATCTTTCCAGGAATTGCCAGTACTATTGGGATTTGGGGGGGGGGGGAATTAGGGTGAAAACCAAAAGAGATGGAAGGTAGATAGGAAAATATTGCTGAGGTTAAAGAAAGGAATTGGTCCTGGATTTTCCCAACACGCTTAGTACAGGAAGTGGGCAAGAAACAATAGTCTCCTTATGTGTGTAAACCATCCCTCATTCACCCCTGTGTAGATGAGGTGCTTTGTACATCCCATCCCATTTTCCCTCTGGGCTGTGATGCCATGTGTAAGATCTGGAGATCCTAGACAACAGTGGGGGGGGGGGGAGTTTCTAGTCTCTGGTCTTTGGTTTATTTCAATTAACCATTAAAGTATGTGGTGAGAGGTGGTTCCCACTTATCCTTAAAATGAGCAACAGTTTGACTTTAAAATCCTTTGGAGGAAGTACCCTAAAAGGCCACAAGATGGAAATATTACCACATAAAAGATAGTATGTGACCATCTCAGTTGTGCATTTGTAAGTACTTGTCACTCTCTTACTATGTTTTTCTCAGTGTTTAGTTTTCTTTATGAAAAGAAAAGTTTATGAGCCTGTCAGTTTCTTTGTCCGTATATTATCTTCTATGTTTAAGTCTTTCCATTAGCTGTTTTCCCTCTTCTTCACTTTCACTTATTCTTACTTTCCTCATATTTCTCCCCAAGTAAAACAATTTAGAAGTATATTATACTGAATTGTAATCTGAGGTAAACTTTTATATTTTTTTAATGGAACTTTTAGACCCTTCTTTTTAAATTTCAAAAGAAGAGTTTTCTCGGGATCCCTGGGTGGCTCAGTGGTTTGGCACCTGCCTTCGGCCCAGGGTGTGATCCTGGAGTCCCAGACTCGAGTCCCATGTCAGGCTCCCTGCATGGAGCCTGCTTCTCCCTCTGCCTATGTCTCTGCCTCTTTCTCTCTCTGTGTGTCTTTCCTGAATAAATAAATTTTAAAAAAATTTTTTTAAAAAAGAAGAGTTTTCTCTCTGGGGGAAATACCTAAATTATTTTGTAATGTATGTTGTTCTTTGGTGGTCAATGATTATCAATTTAAATATTCCCTATCATTGCTTTTATGGATGAAATAGTTTCCAACTCAACTTCCCTGTTATGCAAGGTATTAATGTAGAAAATTAGGTGTTCAAATGCAAAACTTGAAAGTCAACATGCCAAAAGAAACATTAAAGCTATCTATAACTTAGAGATATGATTATTAATGGACAAGGTACAAATTTTGACTAGGAAAATTCAGTACTCATGATCTTATTTATACACCTGCTGTAAGGATGAAACCCTGCAATATTATGCAGGTTAAGATTTGAAGTAAGGACAAAAACAAAAGATATCATCTGTCCTTGAAGGATGGGCAGGATTTTTGGAAAGGGTTTATGCCTTGGAGAAAATGTCAAATGCAAAGGCAAATACCCAGTAACATAGGTAAATCCCCAAAACATCATGCTGAGCAGACAAAAAAAAAAAAAGTCATACTCCTCTATTATTATACTTATATGATATCCTTTCTCTAAAAATAGAAAGAAAAC